GCTGCCATGGCGGGAGGGTCCCTGCCAGTGCCGTGCCCGGCTCGGGATTTCTCTTTCGGGTGCGGGGTGGCGCGGGCAGCGGCACCGCGCTGCTCGCTCGGTGTCTCGCTTTCCTGCTGCACGGTGTGCTCTTGGCTTGTTTTTCTCCCCCGAAATTCCATCCTTCGCCGAGTTCCTCCTCCCTTGGTTTCTTTAATTCCTTGGTGTTTCTTAGCTTAAAAACAACAGATGACAGTGGTGCACTCGGCTGGAGGAAAGGTGTCTGGCTTCACTCACTCCGGGAGTCTTTATCAGGGACTTTCCTCTTGTGCATGCTGCACACTTAGAACAAGTAATACCACTGCACACTGTACATATTGCTCCCTTATTGTTTGTTTTGGTTTTTTTCCTTGCAGCTCACTCCTCTCAGCCTGTGCTGTGGGAGAACCTCAAGGGTGAGGGGGGAAAACTGTCCTCTTTAGTTGTCCCTGTGAACTCAACTGTTCACAAAAAAAATAAAATAAAACAGAGGAAAAGCTCCGGACAACCAAGAAGTTCCTTAGAGAAGGGAGCTAGCTACACAGGCAGATGGACATCCCGCCAACTGCACCGAGCAGGTTAGCTGTGGCATAAAAACCTTGCAAAGTGCCAGGAGCTGCAGCCGTGTCCCAGTGAGTGGGAGAGGTTCCAGGCAGGCGAGCACAAGTTTGCCCTGCAGCCTGTGGTTCTGCAGCAGATGGGTGTGCGTGAGCAACATGTGCACTGGGAGTGAAGAAAAGGCTGCACTGGTGGACGACGCGGGAGAGCTTCAGCCTCAGGTCGCTGTGAGGAGTTGTGATCTGCGCTCCCAGCTCCTGAAAATTAGGACAGTTTCATTTGCAGTGGCTCAGTGGGTGTCTCAGAAAAGCCAAGTGTCCGTGGGACCCTTGGGAAGCTTTGTTCTTCTTTAATAATGATCTAAGCAGAGTCCAAATTTTATTGCTTCTTGGCACGATCTGAGGTCTGTTTTGAAACTTGTTGGAAGTTTTAGGCAGGACCGTTTAGCAGGCTTACATAAAACATATACAAAGATCTCCTGATGTTGCAAGAACATGTGCGGGCGTATTTCTGAGAAAAAAAAAAAAAAAAAAGGATGACTTGTTTGGGTTTTAAACACCTGAAAACTGTAACCCTTTTTTTTTCCCTCTTACTACTTAGGTCATTACCTTTCAGGTTAGCATGTTGCATTCAGTTATGCATGTAACATGTATTTCTTGCCAAATATCAATTTAAAGAGAGAATACTTCAGAGAGAATTCTTATTCCTCCTCTTTTGTTCCTTATTAGCAAGGGGATAAAAGTTTAAAACAGGTAACAAATAGAATCAGGAGTGCGAGAATATCCATATGGTCTTTGCCACTTCTTCTCTGTTACACAGATCTTCCATTCTGGTGAGTGGCATGTTCTTTGATCAACATGTAGAAGTCCCTGTAAACCCCCTCATTGGTACTAGGTTAATTTTTGCTGTTCCCTCACCAAGTGATAGTGCAAAACATGCTGCCTTCACGGCTGAACACTGCAGGTGTGGTCTGACTGACGCATGGAGTAATAGAAACTGCATCGTCTTTGCTGGGACTGTGGGAAACATCACATTTGGTAGGACTGTGGCCAGATGAGAGCAAAGTTAGGCCGCTGTGATCCGAACTGACCTTTGGCATTCTCTCCACTGCCTGTGTCCTATATTCGTTTCGTACAGCCAAGTAGTTGGAAATCTAAAGGTCCATGATTGTATGAACCAGAGGCTGAACTCCTGCTGATGGGATGCTTACCCATTTTCCAGAATTGTAACGCAGAATCATTCCCTTTTGCTGATCCCAAATGAAACTGTACTCCAGTTACTAATTTTTGCGCTGCTATTATCTGTATCGGGGTTTGATTTGTACATTAGCAAACCATACAGGCTAATTGTGTGAATTCAAAAACGTTACATGCAAATACCTTCAGAAACACAATGGGTAGATGCCTTAATTGCTTGGAAAGAATAGTGTCAATATTGCAGTTTATCTAAGGATGTGGCCCTCGTAGCACCTGGGCTGGTAATAGAGAGTGAAGGCACAGGTTAGTTCTGGTCTGGTTGAGTCCTTGGCTTGAAACCAAGAGAACTTAAGGAACTTGTTTGAGGAATTGCTCCCAAGACCTGATTTGAAATATATAGCTTGATGCAACTTGTGGAAAATACCAGTCATGTTGTATGCAAAGGAGAATTAAGCGATTAGATAAAGTAAACATGAGGAGCATTGTGTTTCTTGTAAACTTTTAGTACTGAAATTACTTCAACTTTTGCGATGTTAAGAAATACGATTGGTGGCCATTCCATAAAGAACAGACCCCAACCAAGCTCTAGATTTTAAATTGTGAAGGTCTTCTTGCATTTGCAGGTAGGACATTAACAGGAGTTCAGTGCCAGAGGAACAGTGCCATAGGGCAGAGCTTCTCTTTTGTTATCTAATCCCTAATACAAAACCACATTGTTTCAGGTATGGTAAGTGGATATAACTCATCTGTCATCCTGTTCCTGGCCCAAGAAAGGATTTTCTAGTCTATATTTTTTGTATAATATGATTACCTTGTCTGATTTTGATGTGTGGACAGCTCTAGCCGTAGAAGTAAAAAGTCGTTCTTCTACAGCCCTTTTTTTATAGTGCTTTTTTTTTTCTTCTTTCTTTCTTTCTTGCTTTCTCTCTTTCTCTCTCTCTCTCTCTCTCTCTCTCTCTCTCTCTCTCTCTCTCTCTCTCTCTCTCTCTCTCTCTCTCTCTCTCTCTCTCTCTCTCTCTCTCTCTCTCTCTCTCTCTCTCTCTCTCTCTCTCTCTCTCTCTCTCTCTCTCTCTCTCTCTCTCTCTCTCTCTCTCTCTCTCTCTCTCTCTCTCTCTCTCTCTCTCTCTCTCTCTCTCTCTCTCTCTCTCTCTCTCTCTCTCTCTCTCTCTCTCTCTCTCTCTCTCTCTCTCTCTCTCTCTCTCTCTCTCTCTCTCTCTCTCTCTCTCTCTCTCTCTCTCTCTCTCTCTCTCTCTCTCTCTCTCTCTCTCTCTCTCTCTCTCTCTCTCTCTCTCTCTCTCTCTCTCTCTCTCTCTCTCTCTCTCTCTCTCTCTCTCTCTCTCTCTCTCTCTCTCTCTCTCTCTCTCTCTCTCTCTCTCTCTCTCTCTCTCTCTCTCTCTCTCTCTCTCTCTCTCTCTCTCTCTCTCTCTCTCTCTCTCTCTCTCTCTCTCTCTCTCTCTCTCTCTCTCTCTCTCTTTCTTTCTTTCTTTCTTGCTTTCTCTCTTTCTCTCTTGCTCTCTTTCTCTCTTTCTTTCTCTCTTTCTTTCTCTTAATACCTCTCTCTGTCCTCACTGTGGCTAAATACAACTCTTTAAGCACTCTGAGGTCCAAAAGGACTTGTTAGTGTTCCTGCTGCTGGTACACTACATTTCCTGCTTGTTTTGGGGTTAGAAGCAGCCTTCTCACCGTGCCCGGAAAAGCACATAGCACAACAGGTTCTGGCCTCTGCCTTTTTTTTTTTTTTTTTCCTTGGCCGGGAGTGTGGGAATAGAGGATGATTCACTGAACCTGTTAGGTAGAACCTATAGGTTGTTTTAACAGCACTTGTGCAAATCAGTCCGTCTCTTAAAGTCGGCTTTAGTGCAAGTCCATAGAAATAACTTTTTGTTCTTCGTGCTGCCTCCTCAGAGAGACGATGCACCCAGCACTGTGGCTTTGCTGGGTGACGTTAACAACTTGCCATCGTCTTTACTTGTGAACTACAAAGACTAGATTTGCTGGCTTGGTAGCTCGATGGAATTCCAGAAGTGGAGTCCGTTCGTTGCTGCTGAAGAGATGCTTGGTGTGCAAAGAGTTCGCCAGATGATACTCTTCACAGCTTCCTGAAATCTCATCTAATAGACTGTTATCCTGCGTCTTTATCTGTGCAGAGGAAGGGAGGATACATCAGAGGACAGTGCTGTGAAGAAGCTTGGCTTGAACCTGCAGGGCTGCGGTCTCTGGAGGAGCTCGCCCTCTCCTCAGACCCGTGTGGTGTAGGAGTGTGCAGAGCCATCGGACCAAGCCATTCTGCAAAGCTGTAATGTGAATGTCCCCTAGGACACTCTGTGGGTCCATGAGGGGCCTACAGACAAAGCTGTAGACAAGACTATAGACAAAAGAACAAGCAGGAGCTAGTAACTGGCCAAAGAGGGTAGATCTTTGTGCTGGCTTAGAAGGTGCGCACGGTGGGAGCAGGAAGGCAGCTGCCTTGGCAGACCCTTCCCGAGGAGCACGGCGGCTTCTCGCCTGCGCAGAGCCTGGTGGCTCCTGCCCTCTGTCCTGCTGAGAGAGCCCTTGCTGCAGATGAGCTGTGGCACTCGCTGCAGGACACCAGAGCTAATCAGGAGGCCTTACTTTTCTCTTTTCGCCTCCATTCTCCTTGCTCTCTTCCTCAGCTTTCAGACAACCAGATGCCAACAGTGGTACAAATACTTGTAATTATCAGGCAGTTAATACACAGGAGTTGGACAAGTAGGACAGACTGCCACAGATCTGATTTTGGTAAAATGTCAAAGAGCAGGATAGTGGTCCCTGTCAGTGTGCAGACCTCCCCGTGCTGATTGCCTAGTGACTGCCTATGCAGAGAGGAGGTTTTTGCCAAGTTTCTGTCTTCTCAGTATATTCATTTTACTCTTTTTTTAAAGAAGTAATGCTGAAGACTCCAGCGAAGTGCTCTGCGTTGGTTAGCTCTGTGTGTGGGCTGGGTGCTGATACCAGGGATCTTTTGATAGATACTTGCAAGGTGTTTATAGTATTAAACTGAGCAAGGCAATAGCTCTTTCTAACTATTTTACTTCAATGGAATTTGAAAGTCAAGACTTTTGAAGGAAACACATCTTTTCTATGAGGATATACCTTTCATGTGAGGGAAGGTGTCATACAGGAACTAAATGGTGCTGTCATTTTGAATGCTCTCCTAGCAGTATGTTTTGATGACTCTTGTAAACGTTAATTGAGATGTGTCCATTTTAATTGGGGTAAACTTTGTTCTCAGATTGGCTCAGACTGTGCAGAGAGGTGTGAGGAAATGCCTTTATTTGCCGTAGCTGAACCACTTCCTTACCAGATTGTTGTTATTAGCTGCATGAGCTTGTGGGTCGCCAAGAACAGGGGACCTGTTCCCCTGGAGCCCTGCTGTCCCCAGGGCTGCTGTACATCTGTCTTAGGAGAGCATTGCCAGGGCTGCTGTTCCCACGGGCCAGGCGCGGGGAGCGTGAGGAAGGTGAGAAGGAGGAACTCGCCTTTCCCCTCTCCGGCTGTGGCGGCCGCTTTCCCAAACCTCCCGGCGGAATAGAGCAGTGCCGGCGCGCGGAACGGGTGGTTCCTTCCCCAGAGAACCACACGCTCAGTACATTTTTTTTTTTCCCTAGAGCTTAAAGAGAGAACTATGCTTTTGGGTTGTTGATAGATAAGAGAAAATATGCATTTGTTCAACTCATATATATTACATAAAAGAAAGTTAGGAATGGTGTCAGCTACCAGTACCTTTTCATACTTTGGTAACTTCTTGACGCTACATACTCCTGCAGCTTTTCAGGCCCATAGTTTTCAGTCACACAGTCACTGTCCTTCAATTCTCCAGTCACTTCTGTAACGAAGAACCAGGAGGAAAAGAATGTAGAAGGACTTCCAACTTCAGGCTTTCTTTGTCCTGCACAAAAGGTAAAGGGTCACGTCTTTACCTGACTTGTATTTCAGGCCTGCCAGCACAATAGCTATTTGACTTCAGCCAAACTTCACAGGCCCTCCCTGGTGCCCATAACTTTAGTGTTTTCTCTTGCTAGGCTTTCGAGACAGCCTTTGAGGAGAGAGTTCACATGGTAGGACTCCGTGTTCCCAGTCTGTTTGCTGCTGCAAACTTCCTGAATTGCAATTGTCTGGGTATTTGTAGGCTCACAGTAGAGTTCCTTTGGGAACAGATTGGAAAGATAATGTGACAAGCACATTTTACGCTGCTCCCAGTCCTCACACTGTTATTAATTTAATGTTATTAAACAAAACGTGCTAATACTTTGTAAAAAAAATCAGCTTTGACAGAAACTGAGGGCTGTACTTTGATAGGATGTGGCTTCACTGGCTGAAAAAAATGCATTTGTAGATGTTTTAGCCTATAAATTTTAAAGATTTGTTTTATTTTCTGTCAGTATTTGATGCATTTTGTTTTATTTTTCCTAGATAAGCAACATCCTGTTTTTTGTTTTACCGCCCATATGTATGTGCTTATTCCGCCAATACGCAACCTGCTTCAACAGTGGAATATACTTAATATGGACCCTCCTAGTTGTGGTTGGTAAGTCCCTGTTTATCTGCTCATGCATGAACTGAAAGGGAGAGGAAATCAGTTTTTCCTGCTTGCACTCGATTGTTTATGCAAAACAAAGCAACCCTGACGTCTGTTGAGGAGTCTGCCTGTACTTGCTCGGGGCCGAGACGCTCGTACTTTCTGGCAGGAAGACGCCCTGAGACATTTCGGGCTGCTGGGAACTCTGGCGCTAGCTCCGTTGCCCTCCTGTCCTTCCTCTGCATAACTTCTTGTGTGTGCATGGGCTTCCTCGAGAGCACTGCTGGCCCTCCTTCCTCCAATGCTGTTTCCACAGTGAGAGCTGAAAGTTCTCGGCACAGCTGAAGAGGATAATGGTATTTTGTATTATTCTGAGGCTTTTTAATGATGGAGCCGCATGCTTATCCATACTGAAGGAGAATGAGTCTTAAGCATGTGCCCAGAGATGATGGGAACTTTTAAGGGGCTGTTTGAAACCCTGTGGGACAGTACCTCACTTTCCACTTATGAACATGATTGTATCTTGGCCACTCATCTCAAGCTCCTTCCTTTCTTTCAGTTACCTGTGCCAGTGAGAAATTTCAGGAGAAGCATTTGAGTGTTATTTTTTTGTTTTGTTTTTGCATTTAATTTCACTACTAGATGTTTTTTCACATACATGTACTTTGCTATTGGAAGATACTGTTAGGTCCGGTATCCGAATTGACAGGGAGAGAGACAACCACCATAGATATATATTGTCTTTTATTAATAGAAGAAAGATAATAAGTATTACCAGCTAGCTGGGGTCCAGGCTTTCCCACGCAGGGGTCACACCACGGACCCCGACCACTTCGAGCGTCCCTCTTTTATACCGTTCTTACCCAAGAGTGTTCCCCCTCCCGTTTTCCTGTTTTGCATTCTTGTTAATGTTATCTATTTTGCTGAATTAAAACATCTGGATAAGCAGCCCCCCTATCATCCTGATTGAGGGCAGGGCACCCTAACCCCGCCACCTATCAAGGGTCCAGACCTTGCCATGAGCAGGGCATCCTGACCCTGCCATCTATCAAGGGTTCTGCCCCTGCCGTGAGCAAGACATCTGGACTCTGCCAGTTATCATGGGTCCTTGTGCTCTAAGACTCAGCTTATTCTACATTAGCTATTTAACCCCTACCTTCCCGGCTAATGCACCCTAGAATACATCTTTAGCTCTTCCTTTTGCAATGTGCTTTGTGATTAATCTGATGCGCTGATAATTTCTATTTCCCTCTTGGCATGGTCAGAATTGTTATTTTTTTCCCCTATTCTTTCTTTTTTATTAAACCTTTTCTAGCCCAAGTAGTGTTCACTGTCTGTTACTTGGTCCAGATCATGAAAGCACGTTTCTGGCTGTACCGTGTTTTATCTGTTCATACTGCCTTTTCTTCGCCTCTTTCCAGGGATTGGGTCCGTTTACTTTCACGCCACGCTGAGTTTCCTGGGCCAGATGCTGGATGAGCTGGCTATTCTCTGGGTTCTGATGTGTGCCCTTGCCATGTGGTTCCCCAGGAGGTACCTGCCAAGAGTGTTTCGAAATGATAGGTAATGCACGGAGCATAATACACTTCCCTGTCTCTTGAAACATGTAACACTAACACCCAGGCGTGCCTGTAGTGATGGTGGGTGGTCGTCTAGTCCTACAGCTCCTGCTACTACATTCTCACCTCCTTCTCTTCCTGTCTCTCATATCTTAGGCCCATCAGGATTTAGAAATCCCGATTCTACAGATCCTGATATGTCCTGTAACTTCAGGCCTTGGAAGGAGGTAGATTGCCTCTGGAGTACCTATTTTTCATATTGATTCTAAAATGACTGTTAAATGAGTAGTTTATAAAATCCATGGCTAAAAATAGATAATAGAAACCATGCTTCCCACCTGCATTTATATAAGCCAAAATACACGTAGGAATAGGCTTATGGAAGTCAGTTGAATATTCATCTCAATACATAAGGCAGTGGTTAAGTGCATTTTTCATTCAAAAACTAAGTAGGTGTTTGGTTAGAAGTTAATTGTTGTTGTAAAAAGATTTTTTTTGTTGCTGTTTCCTGAGGGGTTAAAAAAGCAAGCAGTGGAACTTATTTCAAGAATCTGTAAAGCCTGCGGGCACAAGTACGTTCACGTTGGTCTTTCACACAATATCGCCTCATAGTCCAGAGGTTTGAAAGGCAACATGAATGTTCAGTGCTCTGCAAATTGCTGCCTCTTCCTTTTCCGTATTGGTATGATCTGTTTTTTTCCTTTGTTTCCTTTTGTTGTGTGCCTGATCAGATGTTCCTGGGGCTGGTGCCTAGATTGCCCTTTCCTCAAAACTGCTCTGAGAAAAATGCATCACATGTTACCATGTACAGTCTTGTGTAACCTCATGGCTTTCCAAGTGAGTGAGTGAGTTTGGTACTTTCGCATTTTGCAACACAGTGCTAACACAGGGCACTATCAACTCCCAAGCAGAGAGTTTAGTAGGGTATTTTGGTAGGTGATAAGGCTTTCTGATATTTAGTTGAAGCAAAGAACAGTTTAGTCTCTTGAGGAATTTCCGTAATTGTTATTCCTCAAAAAGCCAGATAAATTATTTTATGCAATCTATTACTATTCTTGTGATAGTCCTTTGTATAGGTTCACAGTATTGCTGATATTTTTGTATTAAGAGAAAGACTTCAGGGGTAAAATCTTGTTTCTATTGAACATAGTCTTAAACATGTCATTAAAAACTTCCCAGAATATAGCTGATCCATTAAAAGATTGTGAAGAGATAAACGCCCTCCTCCAATAAATTTCCATAGTATGTGTCAAGGCAGTTGTATTTTAAGATCTTGATTAGATTCTGAAACATAGAGGAAAGAATTTGATTGGGGATGCCTAACCCACAACAATTTTTTAATTTTTTTTAAGGTTGTTAGGACATTTGCCCCTCAGATCCAGAGCTTCCTCCTTATGCAACATAATGCTGGAGAGCTGCTTTCCAGTAGGAAAAGAAGCTTTAATACAAAAGGCAAAAGGCAGATGGGATGGGCCTGGTGAAGATGAGAGTGATGATTCTGGGGGCCCGGGAATCCTGGTTCAGATGGGGAACTAGAGAAGACCCCGCGTTAGGCAGTCGCGGTTTTTGTGAAGCTGAGGGTCAGTAGTTCAAGGGCAGCATGGTGATTCCCTTTCCTGGTGCAGGATGGTGCTTTTTTAACCAGAACAGAGTCTGAGTTGGGAAGCAGGGGCAGAAGCAGGAATTAATCTGTGGCAACTTAACATGTTACCCGACTCAGGGGCTTTTCCTCTGCTCCAGCACAGGTAGCTGCTCCATATAAAATGCTGGTTGTGCCTCTTCTGCCAGGGGTGTTTTTGGTTCCAGTGCAGAGGAGCGGAGAGGAAGGGGTCACGAAGGTGGCTCAAGGGAGGGTCTGCATTCCTGGCCGTGGCTGTCGCTAATTTGCTGCTTTTCATAAAGGTCTTGAGCAGATTCCAGCCCTGTGTGTACATTTCCATAGCATACCATTGCACTGGATTGGTTTTTGCAAGTATGTAAGGAGCATTCTGTGACTGAAAACTCTTCTGTTGCCTCCCCAGCCCTGCCACGGACTGGAAACAGGATGTTTTAGATACAAAACTATCTAACTGGAAGCTTAAATGATGTCAAACATGAATTTAATTCAGAAGTGTCCTTTATGATTGTGATTTCATTTATGCTGAAAAGATACCAAAATCTAGTCTTTTAAAAAATGAATTTGGGTAGAAGTAAATGTTCTTATTTACCTTGTAATTTTCACTAATCTTTAAGGCTTAACAAAAACAAAATGCAAACTGTAGCATAACTGAAGAAGGTGTTAAGGATAACAAAAAAAAGTCCCCCAAAGCAATATTAAAAGCATGAATAACGACAGCACAGCACTGCTCTGGAGAGCTGCAGTGTCACGTGCTGGGATGGATTCGATCTTGATTTACTGTGGCAGGAGGAAGACTGGGGTAGGACGCTGGGGTTTGAAAGCAGTGTTTTGTGTGTGTGTGTGTGTGTGTGTGTGCATACACATGGCTGCCTCAGAAGTCTGCACTCCTGTAAGGATTTGTGCATGTGATTAACTCTGCATGCCTGTGCAAGGCAGTGCAGGATCCACATCCACCCTATGTGCATTGCCTTCGGATCTAACTCTGTTTTGCAACATTATTAACATTTTATTTTATTTTATTTTATTTTATTTTATTTTATTTTATTTTATTTTATTTTATTTTATTTTATTTTATTTTATTTTATTTTGCTTTGTTTTGTTTTATTTTGTTTTATATATTTATTTTTTATTTTATTTTTATTTCTTTTTTTTTTACTAAATAAAAGTTTTGAATTCAAAGCATTTTTTCCTTCCTCTAAATTTAGGAGCCGTTTTAAAGCTGCTGTTGGTGTGCTTTCTGGAGTTACTACCTGTCTTGCCTTCATCAAGCCTGCTATCAACAACATCTCACTGATGACTTTGGGTGTTCCCTGCACAGCTTTGCTCATTGCTGAGTTAAAGAGGTGAGTGCATTTTTCCTGAGTGCAGGATTGCCTTCTGAGATCCTTAAGCAATTTTGGGATGGTAGAGTAGGTCTGGATTCAATGCTTATGATAGCTGGTTGGAAATGCATCTCCCCCATTATGCAGAGCACTGATCGTTTCAAGGTGATTACAGACAACACAGGAGTATCACCCAGCTTAGCAGACATTGCTTTCCTCTTCATGCTTGACTGTTTCTATCCTGAGTACTGTTCTGCAGTACACTACGCAGTAGCTAGCTTGCAATTTATAAAAATGATTTGCAATTCTTGCTGGTAATACTTACTGGTAATACAAACCTGTCCTTACCTGCACCGTCTTCCTGACTGACCTTGCGGCAGGAAACTTTCTTTTAATAAGTTTCCAGCTTTCTTCTGCAGCCTTAAACAATTTGAACCATGTGCCTTAACTGTCATCTTCTTTCAGCATTCAAACTAATTGGATGTTGATTGACTTGGTCATTGACTAAAGGAGCTGGATGTTTGAGGATAAGCCTCTTAAGTGGGATGCAATTGCATGACTGTTATTTCTTTTGGATAGATCCAGAAAGGCTCCATATTCTGAATACACAAAGCTTTTTCTCTGTCAGAATGCACAAGCATTTAGCATAGCAGTCTGATTTTAACCTGTTGCATACACAAACTTGAGCCATGCAGATACCCACTGACTTTTCGAGGAATGGATTTTTGCTCTTTTAAACTTCTCTGTATCCTTTAAAAAGTGGAAGTCATTCTCACATTAAAGGGAGAGAATTAAGCCCTATACGTTTAGTGATTTTTCCTTCTTTTATACTATGTACAGCTATTTGGAGAAGTGTGACCTGCATGAAGACAATTTATCAATATAACTTTACTAGTAAAACTGTGCCTTTTTTGGATATATTTCTACTAGTGTGTTTCAAAAGTTGTGTGAGGAAGAATTCTGTAGCTCTGCTCTGGAACAGTAGACAACAGTTTCCTTGCCCTTTTCTTCATGCTCTTTATAGCCTTTTAAATATAGGGACACTATTTCAGAAGAGGGGAAAAAGAGGCCTTTTTACAGTAGCCAGTGTAGACAGTTTTGAAGCCATCTTGGGCCTGCCCTGCCTCCTCTGACTTGTTTGTCACAGGGGTTGGAGAATTCAGGCTTAAGAAAAAGCCATTTTCATTTGTATGTTCCATGGAATATTATCATTTGTGGCACTCGTGAGTCTTCTTTAGGAAGACAACTGTTTTCATGTGGAGGAGATTATAACGAGCAGTTTGCTGTGAAGCTCTTCTCTGAATTAATGATGATGGATGTGATGATTCTGAATGTCAGATTATTTATAGATGGCTTAAAAAAAGAAATGCCAGGCCCTAAAACCAACTTGTGTGAAGGACACTGAAGAAAATCCTCCATCAACAAGATTATGCATTGGGTAGCTTTTCTGTCATTAATCCAGTAGCTATAAAGGTGCCTCCTGCTGAGCCTTAGGAGTTTCTTAATCCGAAATGCCTGTCTGAAATGTCAACTGAAATAACACTTCAAGAGTTAAAAAGTATCCTACAGGTTTGCAGGGAAAACTGTACAGTTTGCAATACACCAGAGTCAGGTACATTGCTGCTGCTGATACCGTAACATCCTCAGAAAGGTGCTCCTGGACAGAATTGTTCATTGTGTGTTTTTACTTCCCCTGGGTGCTGGTCTGGGCTCCATCAGTAACTCCCCGGGACCAGCTGCAGAGCTGCTTTTCCACCGCAGAGGGGCAGGAAGCATCCCCTGCCTCATGTCTTCATGGATTGATGCTGAGCGGTCACAGATTGTCTGGGGCATGAGGAAGGGTTTAGTAACAGAATTTTGCTTGGATGGAGCTAGTGTTACTATGACATTAATATTAAATGCAGAGTAGCCTGTGGGTTTTAGGCAGCATGTGACCCTGGAGATAATTAGCAGCTAATATTGGAAAAGTCAAAAAACTGTGAATGAATCAAACCAGAATGACAGATTTCGGGCTGGTAAGTGTTTATGTGCAAGAAAGAAAGACCAAAGAGCTTTTTGTCTGTGCTGTGCTATGTTATGAGAAGACAGCATTATCCAGTAAGTGACAGACTGATGATCAGGGATGATCAGAGAACATCAATGCTGTTGGAGGGCATGTAGTAAAGAAGTGCTCACCTATTTTTACATGTATTGATCTATGTAAGAATGTTCATCTGAGCTTTACCAGCTTAGGTGTCCCTTTAATGGGTCTCTGTGCCAGGCTTTGCACACCTCCCAGACCAGTGAGTCCAAGAGCTGCACAGGAAGACTGGGGATTCAGAGTGAAATCTTCAGAGATGCTTGGGCAGCGCAGGGAGGAAGGCTGGCGCTTGATCTGCAGTAGAGGAACAGGCACAGAGATGCTCTCAAGAACTTTCTGGCGGGGCTCTAAGGCTTCATGGAGCAGCATGGAATACATGAGCCTCTGTTGAGGACCTTTGGACAAGGGAAGGACTTGTGGGTTACTTGGTGTCAGTTGGTTTTGGGGCACTTGGTTTTACAGTGCTGTGAGGCTTGGGTCCCTGGGAAGTTCACTAACTTAGAAAAAATCCCAGATCATAGGTTTTGTTCTGGCAGAAGACAGGAAAGCTGAGCCATGCTTTCTGCCTGCCCACACAGAACTAGTCACATCCCAGGCTAGCATTGCCCTATGGATACCAGTAACAGCAGAACTGGATCTGCAGGCACCGAGAGGCCTAACTCCAAAACAGCAAGCGTAGGTAGGCAGCAAACCATTGACTTTTACAGCATCTGGGGACATGAAGATTATATTTGTTTTCTGTTTGTTTGTTTTTGTTTTCCCACGTGATTTTACTCCTTTGAGAAAAGCTGCATGGTTTATACAATAGTTCCAAGATGTGGAGAAGAACAGAGCATTACGCAGATGCATAAAATCTGTGGGTGTTTTCATAGACCCTCAGCCACAGATAATGCTTTGCACGTCCCTTGGCATTTGCTGCTGTGTTCAGCAATGATCTGCTGCAGGCTGCACTGCGTATGAGCATGTCCAGTGTGTGTTCTTTCTCTCTGTAGAGCAGCCCTTGGTGAACAGGTCTGATTTCCTGTGGAGGGAGAGCACTGCTAAGTGAGGAATTCTGTCTGAGGTTTAGAAGCCCACACCATCTACTAATGTGTGCTTGCCTGGGTTTTTTGGGTAGCAGCTTCTACCTAAGTAGTTCTCCTGAGCAGCTATGCTGTACATTGCTAACATAAAGAAAACAACCAATGAAAAAGAAATAATCCCAGCCGTTTTTTTTTCCCTCACCTTTATATAATGACAATCTAATGCAAGAGGGAATATGAACAACTTTGAGCACTTGTTGGGTGGCTGGTTGTTACCAGGCAGTATGTGTAACTACTAGTTCATTTGGATTTCCCCTCAGTATGGGTCTGTGTGAGTGTTTATCCAATGCATGCACAGTGATATTTAAGACAACACTCAAAGTGTAGCTGCCAAGTAAAAACTCCCTTTTGTGACTAGAACATTGCTTTGAATCAGTATCTTATTTACTGTGAGTAAAGCTCTCATCTTCAGGATGTTTATGATGGTACCATTTTAAAGATATATGCCTGACATTCTGAATCCTGTTCTTAAAATATGCATAGCTGAACTGCACCATTACAATCCTTCTTTTTTGTTTGTTTTTGTTTGTTTGTTTTACAACAACTTCCTTGTGTTTTTCTCCTCAGGTGTGAAAATCTGCGTGTGTACAAACTGGGTCTCTTTTCGGGTCTTTGGTGGATGCTAGCACTTTTCTGCTGGATCAGTGACAAAGCATTTTGTGAGATCTGGTCCTCATTTAACTTCCCCTATCTGCACTGTGTATGGTAAGTGTTCTGTATAAGCTCCTCTGGGTGATTCATGTGTTCTTCAGCACTGTTCCCTTCTGGATTCTGCATATAGGCTTCAAATGACTACTTCTGGTTGGTGCTAGGTAGCTTTACTGCTAAGATGGTAAGCCAGGAGTAAGTCTCACGCTATCAAAGGTGGTAGATGTAGAAAGTTCCTTGGCCTAATCAGATGCATCAGACAGTAAGTTCATTATTGCAACTGAATTCCTAAACTTACTGGTTACTGAAAATCCCATAAACAAAGTTTATGAAAGCTTAAACTTCCCCCATTAACAGTTGAGGGAGAAGGGGGAGTAGTGAAGAGCTGGGTGCTATCCAGAACGTTGTGCTCTCCAAATGATGTGTCTTAGCCTTTCTGCACAACTCTGTCAGGTGCAGAAACCAAAAAAGCTGCAGTCAGTTTAGACCAAGATAAACTAAACAGTTTTATACTTTGCCTTATTCTTTATATTCTTTGTGGGCTCAGAAAGGAGAGAACAGACAGTAGGCCCTATGGAAAAAGCAGGTGAAAGATTGACTGATTTTTTTAGAGCGTGATGATACATTTGATCCCTTTGCTGAAATCATGATACTGAATTTTTCTTCTTGTTGGGGGGTTTCTGTCTCCTCAGGCACATCTTGATTTGCCTTGCAGCTTACCTAGGCTGTGTCTGTTTCGCTTACTTCGACGCTGCCTCCGAGATCCCTGAGCAAGGCCCTGTCATAAAGTTCTGGCCCAGTGAGAGATGGGCATTCATTGGGGTTCCTTACGTCACCCTCCTCTGCGCACACAAGAAATCACCGGTGAAGATCACCTGAATGCAGCCGTGGAATGGCATGGATTTTCAGATTAGCTTCCAGCACGGACAGTACTCATTAATGATAAGTGAATAAGGTTGTATTTTATCTTCTAAGATATGCAGCACTTCCACATGTCATAGTAACAGGTGGCAAGTGTGTCCTTTCCCCTTTCTGGGAAGAGATGAGAGGAGATAGGGAGGTGGAGGTTCTTCAACACTGAGGTAGAACCGTATCTACTCTGACTGACTCTATTTCGCACTCTATTTTTAATGTAGCGTTTCTCTTGTTAAAAAGCTCTTTCCAAATACTAGAGCCAAGGAAGAAGGTTTTCTGCAGTAGGTCACCTCTGGAGCCTTCTTTTACAAAGAAACAGGTCAGAGATGCCTCTGTTGGTCTGTGTGTCCTTCCCAGCTCTCATTTAGAGGAGGCTGCAGACGGCCACAAGAGTGTGCCCTAAGCTCACGTTCCTGCAGGCCGTGGTTGCTCAGCACAGGGAAGGCAGCTGTGCATCACACACACATCTCAGGCTCAGGAGCCTCAGGAACGCTGCAGCCTCAAGAGCCTGTGGCTCTTTCCCCAAGTACAGCAGGAGACCCCTGCAAAGTGGTTGTGAGTTACTGGATGCATGGATTCCGTGCAGGTAGGCAGTGTAAATTCAGAAATAGTTAATGGAAAAATCAGACCCTAAAACTAAATATAAATAAATATTCAGGGTTTTTGAATGTTTCTGTATTTCTACCGATTTATGGACACTCGTATGCTACATATTTCTATCTTACAAAAATGTTATGGAAGCTCCTGTCTACCTCTGTGCTTGAATTTGGTCTGGAAGCTCTCCCAGAAGCATGTGTGTTAGCTGCAGTAAGAGCTGAGGCCAGCATAGACTGACAGTGTAGTTAACATATCGAAACTCCGAGGTGCCTGGTTATGTGTCTAACTGGAAGGTGTTAATTTCCCAGCAGCACTTCGGAAAGACACAGGAGCAATAATTTACTGTTCAGATAGTAAATTTAGAAACAAACAAACAAACAATCCCTCCTCCCCAAAAAAATAACAACAGCAAAACCAAGATGAAGACTCAGATTACAGTAAAGAGTGAAATGTGGCATTCAGCCTTGCACTATTACAAAGGAAAAGTGGATACAGAATTTTCTTTTTTTTCAGCCTATTTTGTATGGATAAGGAATATCTAGATCCAGTTTGTTTTATGGTTATACTTTGAGGTTGAGATTCAGGCATGGCTGTGGGTCTTGCAAGCTCTTTATACTAGAATGATTTACAGAATAATGTAAAATGCAGATGTGTGATTTAAATGTTAGCAACTGCATGTGCTAATAACTGCAGTTTACGTGAAAGCAACATCTGATGGCATTTACCTACTGCCAGAACTGTAAGTGGCTTAAGGGCTTGGATGTGCAGTTTTAGTAATAAGTGATGGGCACATCTGGACACAAGACCAGGAGATACCATTTGCTTTGTTCTCTGCTGGGAAGTCTCGTGTTGTACTTGGTTTTTAACCACGTGAAATGCACCCTATACAATAACGTATTTAGGAAAATGATTTTTAACAAGAACTTCGGGGTGAATTAGCTTCGAAGAATTATAAAACCTTTCAGATAACTTTTCTATTCATATTTATGCTCAAAAAATGTGTTGAGAGAGAATGCTGTTATGCTTAAAGCCCAGTTGTTAGTGGGAGATGTCAATGTCTTTTGGGGAGGTTCAAAGCAGGTGAGTAATCTGCTGTCTCTTGAAATCTTTGCATTTTATTAAGTGACTATCAGATCAAAAAAGCAGCCATAACTTTTTACTTCAGTGGAGCAATGAAGATTTATACCACTGCTGAAGGTTTGTGTGATAGAAACATGTTTTTTGAACACTCACTTATGTAACTTTTATAGGGGACTTCTAACAATTCATGCACTAATATTTGTTACTCTTTGAAACACAGCCCTTTTTCCTTTCTATTCCTCATTTCTTAATTATGGAAAACTCAGTTTCAAGCACTTCTCAGGTATTAAAAGTCTTATAATTATATCTTCATGCCGATAGGGATGCTGGCTGGAGCCTGGCTGAGGTTGCCATCACCTCACATGCCCTACTTAGAGTAGATTTCATCAACTTTTTTTTTTTTTTTACAAAATAGTTATGTTTTGGTAAATAAGTTATTTTAAATATTGTTTAGGAAGTTAGTAACTGATGATATATCTATTGGTGTAAATGACAGACCTTTCCTACTTAATATTTAGCTTGAAAGCAAGTTCCTGCTTAAAGGGCTGTAATGAACCTGCTGTCAGCTGCTATCTTCTGCTGTGCAGAGTCTGACTGCTCACAAAAATGTGATTTTTAGTTTACGGAGTGGCAGTAGCATATTCAGCTATTGTAGAAGTGAATGAATGTGTGTATAAGTTGAGAAGCATCTTCTGTATTTTTATTAACTAACCTCTAACCTTTGTAATTTAAGTAACAGATTCTGTGAATAAACATCACTATCTGATATGCAGAGCGCTGCTCTAGAACAGATTGGGAATATTTCACTGTAACAGTAATCTACCATTTTCTGATGTAGCTATTGCACTTTATGGTATTTTAACTAAGCCCTTCTGACAAAAGCCACTTTTTCCCTTTTCTTTTGTGTTTTTTTTTTTTTTTTAAAAAAAAGAAAGCAAAGCAGGTATTCACCAGATTCACAGCCTGAAGGACCATCCTTTGGGTGGTCTGCATCCAGAAATACAGAGGTGGCTGTGCACTACCCTGATCCTGCAGATGGACAGACATGCACACAAGTTGGCCTGTGTTATTGGAGTGTAAGTGATGTGTATGCACCCATCTGGTTTTAAATCCCAGCATGTTTCCTCCCAGGCTGACAGGAGATGACTGGTTCCCCAGTCCTTAGGGTCAGTTAGTATTTTAGCTTAGCTAGTGGAATGTAATGGTGTGTTTTGGGTATGATGTAGATTCTGTATATTGCTGTGTGACATCTGTCCTTCCTTCCTTCAATTATTTATGTGTCTTTAAGAAAAGATACTCAGCTCCCAGTGATGGTAAACACCTACACAACTGACAGTAAAAATTAAATAAATAGTATTTAAGTTTTCCTCTCCCCTCAGTTGAAGTTTGTACACTGAATGTTTGTGAAAGTGTATATACTTTGCAATATTAAACTACATTTAGAATAAATGTTGTTTGCGTTTTCTTGTATTGTGTTTGGGTGAGGAATGCAGCTGTGTAGTGCCCTGGAGGAGGACAGTTACAGCGAGGGTGGTTCCTCTCTGATTCAGACAGCAGCAGTTTTGACACTTAGAGGAAGAGAGAGACTGAATTAATTATGATACTGTTATCAGTAAGATGGAAAACATGCATTTCTGAGCATAAACCTATCTATAATTTTCTGCTTGCAATCCACATAGAAAAGTACTTGGATATGGCAAGCACATGAATGAGAAGGGGAGGACAAACAGCAAGAAATGGATAAAAATAGATGACTGTATCTCCACAAATCGGAGAACTGTGTCATCATGAGTATGTTTGGGAGAATACAGTAGCCTCCTACCTTCACCTCCCCTGTTACTCCCTCTATTCGCCTGTTGTGTGACATTTGCAGATCCACACTAGATTATGTGATAGGACTTGAAATAACTTATGTGAAAACATAGCTATAATTTAAGAATGTAACTCACTCAGAATTAATCTCTGTAGTTGGCAAGGTGTCAAAAGCAGATAGTGGTCTGTCTGGAAGTTATTGACATTGTTTCCCATGGAAACAAAGCTAGTCCAATTGCACCGCCACATCCCTCTGATAACTTCAGAGCTCCTGCCTTATTTTAACCGATTCAGAGGGAGACAAATGTCGCAAAGATATTTTCCTAAACATTGTGAAATGATCCTGCAAAGTTATCAAAAATTCCAAAGGTTCTTCCCCATAGTTCTTATAAAGGAGGGCTGTAATTCTCTCTCTGTTCCCAATAGTCACAAAATCTTTGTTATGTTAGGTATATTCTAGAACAAGCTTGTATGCATCCAAGACCCCTGATTTACTAGGGTAAATACCAAGGTGTAAAATACAGTGTATTTTACTGCATGGATTCTGCTAATTCACCTAATTCTGTAAAATTTATTCTTCATTTATCTCATAGACAAATTGAAACATACTCTTGCAAAATGATCATCTTAAAAAGAGGGAATATATCAACTCACAAAAGCAAGAACAATTCTAAGCAAGTTGTAGTTTAATATGGGCAGTGCTCATATTCTTTGAAGTTCTGCCATAACCAGGAAGCAAACAGAGACTTCAAGGAATCCAGAGAGAGAAAACTACTTTTGAGTGACTTTCATGGTACTGAATAAAGTTTTAAGCCTGTTTTAGTCAAGTAAAAAGAGTGCAATAAAGGCATAGAAAATTTTATTTTTCTTATGCCTTTTAAAGGCATAGGAATTTCACGTAACAAAGACATGTAATCAGTAAGTATGTAAGTACCAAATGAAAACAAAAATAAGAAGGAAGAGTAAATGCTTAATGTAAAAATACAGGTTATCCTAAAGCACTAAGAGGGAGCCTTTCTGCCTGCATAGTTTTATCAAAGCTAGTGAACTTCACCAAGCTGACTTAGGGAGTGCTCTGGGGAATTTGGGTTCAGGGCTGGGAGAATGCTGTCACTGTGCTAGAATCTGCTATTGTTATTTCAGTGTCTTAAAGTTCCTTCATTTGTGCAACACAACTGGATAATACCAAAGAAGGTATTTAAAGATAAGGTAGAAAATTACATGCGCTGGCATAAAGCCCCATTTTCTGACTTTGTCCATGACCCCTCTCTTGTATCTGTTGTATTACCCAGCCATTTAGCATCTTGATTGATTGACCTAACTCTAATTGAACTAATAAAAGTTGCCAGTATAGTAGTTTGCTCAACTAATAATCCTGTCCTCATTTTATTTCATCTTTAATTCTTATGTCACCTCCTTTGTTATTCTTTACTAAGTGTGGCAATCAGCATGCAATCCTAGATTCATGCCATTTCTGCCAGGAATGTGGAAAGAGGACACCTGCACCAAATTTATTCAAACTGTGTGGCTGTGTGAAGAAAATAAGTGTGCTAGTCTGGAGGTTAGGAGCAAAGAAGGCAAGCAGGAAAAAAAAATCTAGTGGCTGCAGCAGTCAGCTTGGATGGCAGGGAGGATGC